TCCTATTTTTTAGTAGATACCAGGGTCTCACTCTTGCTCAGACTCACCTTGAGAAGTATTTTTGTCTTGCATAACCAAAACTTTGTACCCATTAAACAATAACTCCCCCAGCCCAAAGCAAATGCCATTTTACTTTTTCTGTTTATATGAATTTGACTACTCTATCATACAGTATTTGTCCTTTTGTGATTGGCTTCATTCACTTAACATGTTTTCAAGGTTCATCCATGTTGGAGTATATATCAGTGTTTCATTCCTTTTCATAGCTGAATCATATCCCATTATATGGATATGCCACATTTTATTTATCCATTCATCAGTTGATGGAGATTTGAATTGTGTCTGCTTTTGGTGTATTGTAGATGATACTGCTGAGAACATTTATGTACAAGTTTTTATGGGGGCATATGTTCTCATTTCACAACTGCTTATGTAACAAAAGGAACTTTATTTGGGAAAAGGAACCTAGAGGTAGTTGAGAACAGACTAGTCTACCAACCCTTCCCTCAAAAAAAAAAAAATCATCAGAGCGTCTGTTTTCCCTAGGCACATTCAGAAGAACATGCTTAAAGTATTAACAGTGGGAAGATAATAAAGGAGAAATACAGGATGTATCTGTTTTTTGAAAAGCTGTCATGTTATTTAAGGATGCCAAGGTTGTGGTTTTCATTTTGTGAGACAATACCATTATAACTTGGATAGAAAGAGATCCTTCAGATGTGACTATCTTGTGACTGTTAGCATCCATGACAATGGTAAGAGTACTTTAAAGCAAGTGTCCTCAGCTGAGCGTTTTTATTGCAGTTCTTCTCTGGATGTAATGGGATCATCTGACTGACCTGAGATGTGTACAGATTCTTAATCTCTGTATCACCACTTGAACTGGTTTGACTGAGCATTTTAACTTTTTAAGGCCATTTAAACCTGGAGTTTTGAAGTTCTGGTACTATTGCGTGCACACATGTGTGTATATACACATGTACGTACATGTTTGTTTTTAATGGCAGAGATCAGAGCTCCATCTGCATGGGTAATGGGAGGAGTGCTGCATCCTAGTTCTGGAGTGTGGCCTTGAGACCCAGCTCCCTTATGTACAAGCAGTTGCTTCACCTCAGCTGCTAATGTGTAAATGTGAAGAGCTTGGGTTGGGCAACCCCCAGGTTCTTTTCCATGATTTAAAGTGCTGCTTTCTCATAACAGATCGCAGTTAATCTTGTTTTTTGGAAGAGGAATCTCAATCTTTTGCATGTACTGGACATTTGCTTTTATCTTTTAGAAACAGAATGCTTGCATCTCTACCATTGAAAAGATACCAAAAGGCTGGTGACTATTACTTAGATTCAATCCAAAGTATCCTTTTTTTCTCACCAACCAGCTAATGCTGAAAAGGCGCCACATATTTTTTAAAGAAATATTTTATGTAATATGTGTGAAATGGCTGCCACTAACACAGGTGCACTTTTCAGGAGAATTAATTTTAAAAAATAATATCCAGAATTAGAGTATTGTTGTCTCAATTGACCATCACCTGTGTATGTCACATCCAGAATAATAGTTTATTCAGAGCACCAGGGAAATTGACAGATAGAGCCCATCCATTGGAGAATGACCTGTGAGATTACAGAAGGAATGGTGAGAAGAACTGAGCATGGTTAACTAGGAGAGGGAGGGAATGTTTTAAAAATTTGAAAGGCTCTTATGTGACTAAGTGAATTAGACTTCTATAGATAAGAGTAACTTGTAAACAGAACTGTTCAATGTGGAATGAGCTGCCCTGGGCCTGGTGGGATTGTGTGCAGTCCCTTAATTGAGGTGATCAAGCAGAGAGATGGTCTCTTAGAGGAGGGTTGTTTGTGGAAGGGATTCACACATTGTAGAAAGTGGTAAGAAATATTTCTTTGACTAAACTTTTTCATACAGGATGCTGTATTTAGATAAATGTATCATTTGCTTTGCATGAATTTAGTCCCCTATGAAAGAAATAGTTATGAAAAATTAATTATAAGGAATTTAATAATTGTGGTTAAAACTTGAAAATCAGTGTGTGTGTGTGTGTGTGTGTGTGTGTGTGTGCAGTTTTGTATTTGATGTTGTATTGAATTAATTGGGTACCGTTTATTACCAAAACTTAGAGAACAGTAAAAGTCCAATGCAGTTAGTAATTAAGAATAGAACAGAAATTGGTTACATTTCCTGCCTGCTGCTTATCTTTATTAAGAGTGTTCTAATATGATTATCCTAATGTTCATTATTCAAAGTTAGCATTCAGTACAAGTGTGTCATCAATTTGCAAAGCAGTTTTCTCTTTCTAATCCTTCTGGTTTTCTGTAAAAAAAACAAAAACAAAACCTTTTTTAGTCTCAACACTACTGCACATTTTCCAGTAAGCTGAAGGAAAGAGGGGACTGAACTTTATTTTCTTACCTCTGTCTTGCTGCACAGTTTTATCTACTAATCCAGAAGAGGTTTCTGCCCCTTGGCTAGTCAGAATTGCCTGTTCTGTGGAATTGGGCATTGGGGAGGAGAGGAAAAGGAGAAAACATTAGAGCTTTCTTTCTATGAAGACTTGCAGCATCTGGTAGGTCTTTTGCCCAAGCTTATAGGAAAATGGAAGAGAAGTTGATTGTGTTCAGGGCTATGTGTTTTAGAAAAAAATTGAGTTGGGGTGATTGCTTCCAGATTGGAGGGTCATTCTAGCAAGGGTTTATAAGGTTCATTTTTTAACATATGAATGTTTCTATAATTGGTTTAATTTAAATGTAGGACTTAGTGATACACTGAAAACAAAGTATCTGTTTGCCTACTCAGAGGCAGATCCTAGAATAGTCAGGAAAAATAAGGGCTTGTTGGTTACAAAGAGAAACAGGCTTTTACTGTGACCACAGTTTGACTCAATGAGTAATATAGATGAGTGTTAAATTTGTTGCTGAGAGAAAGATAAGAAGGAAAGAAAATGCATATAAATACCTGGAATGTTTTTTTCTTTTTGCCTAGTTTTTAGCTTAACAGGTCCTAAATGTTTCCACAGAAACATCACAAGATCTGTTCTTACCAAAAAAAAAAAAAGTGTTGTCACAGGTAGCAGTGAAGTTAACTGATGTTCATGAGAATCTTCTTAAAAATGCCTGTCCCTCTTAGAAAATTGCCAGTATAACTTAACATTTTTTAGTTAGATCATTGATTTAAAGAAATTTTAAAAATCCGCCTCTTAAACTCCAGTGGGGGCTGTAAGATCATTACATAAAAATTCTTACATCAACATTAATTGGAGTACTTTGTTTTAAGTATTAAGGGTCTGAATTTCTTACATATTAATTTGGATTGAGCTTGCCAAAAATGAAATGTGTTATAGTAGCTTGAATGTCTTCCTAATTTTTATTAACTTAGAAAATACAGCTGCCATTTTTCTTCAGTAGTAATAGTATCATTTCCAGCCTTTGATTCCATTCCCTATAAAAGATAATCTCAGAGAGTCTGTATTTTTCTTTACACCTTTTTTTTTTTTGAGATGGAGCCTTGCTGTGTCACCCCAGGTAGAGTGCAGTGGTGTCATCATAGCTCACAGCAGCCTTGAACTCCTTCCTGGGCTCAAGCGATCCTCCTGCTTCAGCCTCCCAAGTAGCTGGGACTACAGACATGTGCCACCATGCCCAGTTAATTTTTTCTATTTTTAGTAGGGACTGAATCTCTCTTGCTCAGGCTGATCTGGAACTCCTGATTGATCTCAAGGGATCCTCTCACGTTGGCTTCCCAGAGTGCTAGGATTATTGCTGTGAGCCACTGCCCAGCCTCTTTATAATTTTAATGTAGAAATGTTAAAAAGACTTCACCACGAAATAAACGTTATGTTCTTATCCTTTAGGTTTACTCCCTATAACTTCGTATTCTGATCAGACTAATTTTATTTGAGAGATTTTCAGTAAACTGAATTCTGCTGCAGCAATCAAACTTCCTGCTTTGGTTAATTGCCCACTAGGCCCAGATTCTACATTTCAGTAGACTGCCACTTTGCATAAATTTGCATCCCAGGTTTAGTTTACACTAGTGACTATTTCAGGGAGATGCCTAGGAGCAGAGAATTTTTTCTTCTAGCTCTCAACTTGAGCACCTCCAATTTTTGTCCTTTTTTTTTTTTTTTTTTTTTTGTATTGCAGTTAAGATTACTTTGTAAACAAGGATTTCACTGCTTTAAAAGATAAAAGGTTTAAAACACCTTTGGTTTAAATTAAGCAGCTTATGTTTAAGTGTTACCAGGAAAAAGTAACCATCCTTGTGTGATTCTCAGTGCATTATTAGAGATGTTTTCTTACAGAAATTGTAGATTTGCATTCACTAGTGTAACTGATACATTAGTTGTCATTCTAGTATGTGTTCAGGTTTTGGTTCCCAAATACTAGAAAGTAGCAGAGTTGTATACCTGCAGTCGATGGAAAAATAGAACACACTGTCATATTTGCTGTAGTATTTTCTGGCATGTTAAATTAACTCCGTATTCTCTTATTAGGAATTTGGGAAACATCAAATTAGAATGCATATAAAAGTATGAAGATTTATATACTAGAAAATGATATATCCTTATTTGGAATACCTTAAAATGTAACCTGGAAAAGTTGGACGTAGAGGCTTTTTTTTCTACTGGCTTGATTATCTGTGCCTTCTCAAAGGTTGGGTTATCCTTTAAAGAAAAGTCTGTTTGTTTTGGTTTACTTTCATAGAATAGTAAATGCTTTTCTGCTTTTCTTCTACCTCTAAAAATAGGGACTAAATGGTGCCATCCTTGATCTGCTAGCTTTGTAGATGGACTATTATAGACAAGCCCCACTGGTTAAAAAAAAGAGAGACAGAATCTCACTCTGTTGCCCGGGCTAAAGTGCAGTGGGCTCAAGTGATCCTCCTTTCTCAGCCTCCCAAGTAGCTGGGACTACAGGCATGTACATCACGCCTGGCTAATTTTTTCTATATATTTTTAGTTGGCCAATTCTGTTTTTTTTTTTTTAGTAGAGACGGAGTCTTGCTCTTGCTCAGGCTGATTTCGAACTCCAGACCTTGAGCGATCTGCCCGCCTGGCCCCACTGATTCTTGGTGTGCCGAGTTCTGCAGATCTTACCTTCAGCCTGCTAACCTAGTACTCTCATCTGTTAAGGTTCTCCATCTGCTTGACCCAGAAGAACCTGAGTACAGCTAAAAGTCCTAGATCCAGGACTTTTGGCACAGTGATTGTTTCATAAATGATTATGTTTGTCAGTTAGTGACCTCTCTGCTTAAGTAGAGTTTACAGTTACCTGTGTTATATCATCCTTCCTGGGTATAGGTTCAGCCTACATTTCCTCATGAGCCAGGTTCTCTCTGCCTTTGTTTACCCTCTTGGCAGTTGGATTAAAGAAGTGTTTTTGCTTTTGAGGTTGGGAGGGAGAGAGTATCAGAATTATATATTATTTATATGGTTTTAATTCCTCTGTAGCCTAGGGCCTAGATGAGTTTCAGCTTTTCATTCCAGCCATCTGACTCTTGCTTTCTAAGAAAGCACATGAGTATGAGTTTGACTTGAATTAGTAAAAACTTTGGGCCCTAATCAGTAGATATGGGTATAATTTGCAAAGATTGATAGGAAGGAGTGTGGCTAATTCAACAATGAATTTAAATAATTCTCAGATATTGAACATTTGTGTGTAGTTCATCAGATTGCGTGTGCTTACCAAAAAGCTACTTTCAGTAATAAATAAATGTTAACTCTATCATTAATAGGTCATTGAGCTTTCCCTCAAGCTGTTTTAGAATTCAGAAAGTTTTTGACTCTTTCCATGTAATTTTGTTTTTTTTTTTTTACATAATGAAACCAAGGGCCAAAGAATTCCTTTTGGAATAACATTTTCTTAGAAACTGCTATTCTTACTACTAGATCCAATTCACAAGTATAATAATTATTTTGCATAAAATACTCCATCTTCCCTCTTAATGTTTCGCTTCCTCTTCTATGTCCCACTGCCCAAGGGGTCTGCCAAGACTTTTGGTTGCTAGTGACATGAAACAGAGCAGGAATGATAATGTGTTTGCTCTTGCATCTGAAAAGGCAGAGGTGTCAGTGCTGCCCTTCAAGCACCTCTGAATTAAAGGCCTTAAACCATATTAAATGATACCAGTAGGAGTCTTTATGTCCCTCTGCTTTCTTCAAGTGGTGGCAGGTTCTGACGCTCCTTTTCAGCCTCACTGTTAGCCCTGTTTGGGGCACATGTCCAACTCTGCTGATCAGTATCTACAGAGATGAAATAGTATTGGTCAGCCTGAGTCATGTACACTCAGCTGTAATGGAGGAGAGGGACCTCCTAACTTGACAGCACATCATTTGTGGTGTGGGGTGTGCGGAGTTTCCAAGAGGAGGTTAAATTAAACCCTACTGACTGAGGGTCTGATGCGTGTGCTCTAGGCCCAGACCAATAGAACCAAGGGGGAAGAACTGTGTCTTATTCGTCTCTCTGTTCCCAGCACAGCGGCTGATAAAGTGTAGGCTTTCCCAAAATGATTGATGAACAGATGAACAATGGTATGGTTCTATTAAATTGGATATTTTCTCTTTTTTGTATGCCATGAGCTAAGAGAATTGACTGAAAGGAGCTCTCCTTGGTATAGGAATAATGATGCTGATCTGGTAAAAAGAGCCATCCTGATAATCAAGGAGGCCAAAGAGAAAGAATCAACTACCAAGGGGCAAATCTAGGGAGAAAGTAAGCCCAGTTCTAGAATAATTTTTGGCATCGTCCTCCCTAAGAGTAAAGGTTGTAAATATTTTATTTTAGCTCTCTTTGCTTTCAAAAGTGAGGAAAGAGCCCTTAATTAACTTGGGCAGAGGCAATTTCTTACCTATTCTGTTCCCATCCCTCAGTCACTTAAGTATGGGCTCCTTGTCCAAATTTCTAATTTAGAGGGGTTTTAAAGGTGGGAAAGGAGGCCTGGAGTACTTCTTGTAAAGGTTTTTAAATGAGAACCAAATAGATAACATTAACAAACTCCTCCTAACCAGCTTGTTGATTTGAATTTACATTTCTTAACAGCAAGCAGTAGGCTAAAAGAAAAACAGGGCCCTTGAGTTCTTACCTGTGATAATTCTAGCATTGACTGGTTGGTAGAGTTTGATAGAGACTTTCTCTCAAGGAATTGTTTAGCTTGAAAAATACTTTTCTTCTTGAGAAAAGCTCAAGTAGTATATACAAGAAATGGTAACAGTGGCTGCTTCTAGGCAGGGGAGCTGCGTGGCTGGAGGAGAGGAGTTGGAGGGAGGCCTTCTTTGCTTATATTCCTATACTGTGTGTTTGGCTTATCAACTTTTAAAAAGTGTTTAAAGCAAAAAAACCAGAATAATCTTTGTAAATGCTTTCAAGTTTGCTAACACATATGACAGTGATGCTGAAAAGGAGAGTCAGAACCTGCCACCACGTGTTATTCAAGCTCGAGATAGACAAAATCTTAGAAATGGCCTCTATAAACAAATACATGGAGGGTACCTCCATCTGGTGAAAGGGACAGATTATAGAACTCCCAGTGTTATTAGAAATGAGAAATCTGCTTATGAAGACATTTATACTCTTAACTCACAACATTCTACATCTTTCAATGTAAACATTAAAATAGATTACTCCTAGTTGCTAAGCATGGAACAAAAAAACATTTTTAGGTATAGCATTTCCCATTAAGCAGTGTCACTATTGTGTTTGTCTCTTAAATTCAGTCAAAATAAGTAAACCTGGACTGACTTTTATGAATTTTAAGTTTCTTAAAACTGAACTCCCTAATGAGCATACTCACTTTTTCAGAACTATGGGTGGATCAATTGGGTACCTACCAGGCAGTGAGGTACTTCGTCTGGATGCCTTAAAAGGACTGTGTTGGCTGTGAGTAGTCACTTAGGAGAATGGGTTTTCCTTTCACCCAGTTGCAGTTTGAAACCTTTGTATGTTTTCTATAGACTGGCCTCAGTGGTGGCTACATTTCCCAGTCTTTGTGTCTGTGTTTTGCTGAGATTGTTGAGCTGCTGCTTCAGGAGTCAGAAAGACCGATAATGGCCGGCTTCTGGGCATGTCTCTGCTTCTGAAGTGAAGCAAAATTATCTCAGGAAGTTCCCAAAGAACTGAATTTTGGCCCACAGAGAGTTTATGAAATGAAAGAAGAAATAAGATGTCTCTTGCCAGACTTGGGTATCTGCGAGCATCCATTTTGATACCTGGTCTCTTTAGAATTAGCTTGTGCCATTCTTCTTTGTGAAGTGTTTTACTAGCAGGTGGTTCTCTAAAAGACCTGGTTTGTGAAAACTGTTTTACTTAAGCAACTGATAAAGAATTTTTTGATCTTAAGCCACCAGTTTAAAAGATGGTTTTAAAACAATCTTGCCATAAAATGTTCACAAAAATAATTGACATGGCCTTAAATGCATATTGATTTGTCTCAGAAGTGACTTCTAAGTCTGCATTTGGCTTCACAAAATGCATATTATTCGCATGGCCCAGAGAAGGCAGGCAACAATATAGTCACCACTTTATAGCTTACAGCAGTTCCATCTTGATTATCATATGGCTGAGGAGTGTTTTTCAATGACATGCTTTTTCTCTTTTGGCCCCAGGTAAACTTTGATACTTCATGTAGGATCTTTTGAGACTTCTAAGTTCTGGTAATATCCAGATTCAGAATTTCTAGGAGTTATTGTTTGATTTGGTAGGTTTCACTTTTTCATTTTTCATAGTTGACATTGATTTTGGATTAGAATATTAAGTGAGGCAGTGTGATTTTTATTATGTTTGGATTAGTTGACTTGCAGCTTACACATGGTACTGGTATTATAGAGTAACAGCCTTTATTAATTAGAAAACCAGATTTGCATATATTAAATTTTAATTCCTGGTGCTTTGGATTTTGTTTTTGCTGGTTTTGGTCTTAGAACTACTTTATATCTTGCAAAATTGTTTTGGATTTGGATTATTAAATTGATAAATTTTTACCATATAGGTAAATGCTTTTGTAGAAAGCCTTTTTGATCACATTGAAAGTTGTACAAACTCTCAGCTGCCCACAACTTACTAATTTTATTTTCTTATTAAACACAGAGCTCTGTTTTTAATGAACTTGGAAAAGTTGAAGTAAATTTCTGAGTTAACGTATTAGATCATTTAAATAATTTTTATTTCCATTACACACATGTAGACTTTTTGTTTTTTAAAAGGACTACTAAAGGCCAGGAGTCAAGACCAGCCTGAACAACATAGCGAGACCCCTTTTCTGCAAAAAATTAAGAAAAATTAGCCAGGCGTGGTAGCACATGCCTGTAGTCCCAGCCACTCAGGAGGGTGAGGCAGGAGGATCAGTTGAGCTCGGGAATTGAAGGTTGCAGTGAGCTGTGATTGTGCCACTGCACTTTAGCCTGGGTGACAGTGTAAGTAAGACCTGTCTCTATAATTAAAGAAGAGAAAAGGTTCCCTCTGAAGTTTGTAATAGTTAACAATGCTGAGTGCCCACTTTCCCCCATCTCAGCATTCATTCCATGTCTATAAGTGAGTGCTTTTATCCAGGTGTGTTGCTGGCTTAAAGGTGGGGGTGGGGTTGTCAAGTCATACAACCATTAGTGTCTTTAGTCTGGAGAACTGTACAGAAACTTTTAAAGGACGTTTCATTAAGAATACCGTAACAGTGGGCAGGACAGTTCCAATTCAACAAAAATCTCTCTTCCCTGGCACTCAAAATTGTATGTCATAATGATGGTGAGGTGGTAAGCATTTTTTTATTTTCAGAGGTATATCACAAGGAGAAAAGTGCTCACACTTGCTTTGAAAATAACTGGTTGATATTATATCCCTAATTCTCAGCTTTAAGTTCATTGCTGAACTGGTTTTTTTAAAGTCTAATAAAAATTGTGCCTGATTGGACTCATAGTCCAGCTTACAACATAAAATATCCTGTTAAAAAATACAAAAGATCAGAGAGCACTTATTTTGACCGCTTGCTTTTAAGTATTTAAAATACACTAGATGAGAAGGACTTTGACAATGAAAAGAATAAAATAAAACATACCAAAAAAAGAAATCAAAATATACTAGATTAAAAGATACCTATGCACCTTTTTGGAAGATGGGGCCCCAGGGTTTGTGATCCTGTCATCAGTGGAATTAGTAAATATTACAAGTTGTACATGTTTTGACTTTGACTTAAATTTTTTTTTCCAATAGAAACTATGTTCCAACTTCCTGTCAACAATCTTGGCAGTTTAAGAAAAGCCCGGAAAACTGTGAAAAAAATACTTAGTGACATTGGGTTGGAATACTGTAAAGAACATATAGAAGTAAGTAGCATGTCGTTTTTTAATTTTACCATGACCCAGCTTCTGATCCATTACTTTATGTCAGTAGCCAGGATGGTTAATTCTTAAATGTGATTCTGAATTTTAACCACAACAGTAGCTTCGCCAAAACGTTCTCAATTAGCATAACTTATTCCCTTCTCCTTAAACTGGGCTTTTTCATCTTTGCATCCTGAAGCAAAAGTGGCTACTATTGAGGACTTACACATGTCAGACATTGTACTGGGTGCTTTAAAATTGTCTGCAGATTAAATCCTTAAAACAACCTTAGAGGAGGGATATGGGAGTTCTTATTTCCAATATACACATGAAGAACAAGTAAAGAAATAGATCTGACCTCAGAGCCTTCAAGGAAGTGGCAACGTCTCTAGTACTCCAGAGCCTGTTCTCTTCTGATGTGCCTGAATGTTCTGGTTGGCCTTCTAATCATTGAGGCATGTTGTTTGGGTGCTTGTTGTCTTTTTCCTTAGGATTTGAGCATTTCTTGGCCTTTTTGACACATCATAGACTATTATCTTCCCCTTGTATAACAGTTTGGACTTTATAAACTATTTTCCAAGCCATTTTACTCTGAGTTTTACAACAGTCCTGTGGGACAGCCAGTGCCGTGGTCTCCTCCTTTTCCAGATCTCACTGCTCCAGGTCTTACGGTTAGTCGGTCAGAGCCTCTGTCTGAAAGAAATGTTTAAAGCTGTTTTCCTCACTAAACTTTTTGTTCCAGCTGGCTGGGGACCATAGCTACCTTGTTCATCCATTTATCCCCAGCACCTAGCATAGTGCTTGGCACATAATAGGTGCTCAGTAAATGTTTGAAATGGGATTAAAAGTAAAGAAGCAAATTCATTCATGCAACAGGTTTTCTTTTCCTGAATCCCACTAATAATACAGGGGATGTCATGGGGACTGAAGCTTCTCAAAATTGGGCTTCTTTAGTTATGTTGTCCCCAGTTTGGGATTAGCCCTTCTCCAACCCCACAAGTTCAGGTAGATATGCCCAAATGAAACAGTCCATTCACTTAGCACTCAGTGGGGTCATCTTCACAGAAATAATGCAAATATTAAAGTATCTTTTCTGTCTTGAATTTGATTTGCTCTTCCCATTATTTATATGCACTTGGTTTTTCTCCCTAAACTGTAAACCTCTTAGGAATAAAGGGAAATTACCCTAAGACTTCATATCTTCCTAATCTGGGTAGGGAGTGGGAGGGGGGAACAGGCCATTACATTTTTACATAAAAGTATAAATTTAGCATCATACTATTAAATTTCTTTGAGTAGCTTTCTTCCTTTTGGGTTCAAAAATCCTGAGTTTTCTTCCCCATCCAATCTCCTGCCCCTCCCTCCCAAAATCTTTTTTTCTTGCACAGAACCAAAATACCACATCTGCAGTGCTACAAGCAAACATTGCTATTTTAGACTCCATTCCAATACTATTAAATATAACTGATGAGTTACAGTACTCTATTGGTATTAGTGTGTGGCTAGATTTTTTACTTAATTAGAACATCCAGCGGTTTCCTTGCCTAGCTGACCATTAAGAGAATGTTTGGTTGATATAAAATGTTCAGTGCAGCTTCTGTGTGCCTTTGTATCACTCCTCTTGATGGGGTTGGTTTTCCTGTGCCTCTCCCCAACCCTAGTTAAGAGGTAGGATTTATATGTAAGTTTGGGCTACAGTTGAAACCACTATGTTTTTGTAAACTTCTTTCACTGTCTTCTAGGATTTTAAACAGTTTGAACCTAACGACTTTTATTTGAAAAACACTACATGGGAGGATGTAGGACTATGGGACCCTTCACTTACAAAAAACCAGGTAAGTGGCACAGGAGACTTCTCCAAATGGCATATCCTTGGCACATTCCCTTTTCCGCTCTAGGCTTTTCATAGTGATTGTGGGCAACAGCTTAATGTGAGGAATGTCAAAATTGCATACTTCATATTTTCCTAAGTGATAGGGAAACTTAGAAGAATTTACTGTCTTTTTTTTGTCATTGAACTGAAACTCCAAGTGTAAGAGGGAGGCAAAGGAAATTTTGTTACTTAAAAGTTCTGAAGCCCTTTGTATACCAGCATTCCCCCCGAAAGAACTTTGACTCATTTCTAAAATATTCTATAACATTCTGTTTATCCAGTTATCTACCATTTTTCTGTGTTGGTGTTGCTGTCCTTGTTTTACCTAGAGAGAAAAAGGCCAGACTTTTCCATTTAAGCTTCCTCCTTTCTCTATGCTGATGGCACCCAACCTTTCTAGGAGGCTGTGGGAGGTGACCCTGTAGGATGGCAGTGACAGAGAGATAAAACTTACTTTTTACAAATTGGCATTAAAAACAGGGCCAGGTGTGGTGGCTCACACCTGTAATACCTGTCCTTTCAAAGGCCAAGGCAGGAGGATCACCTGAGGCCAGGAGTTTGAGAGCAGCCTGGGTAACATAGTGAGACCCCGTCTCTACAAAAAAATTAAATTATAATTAGCCAGGTGTGGTCGCATGTACCTGTAGTCCCAGCTCCTTGGGAAGCTGAGGTAGGAGAATTGCTTGAGCCCAGGAGTATGGAGCTGTGATGGTGCCAGAACACTCCAGCCTCGCAGCAGAGCAAGACCCTGTCTAAATACATAGAGTCATTGGTGCCAACAAGTATCAATAGATCAAAATATCTTATAGATAGAGGGAGCTGTAGGTGTTTCTTTCCACAGGGAGAAGTGAATGTTAATTTGGTTTTTGACCATTGCCTATTTCAGTAGTTATGGTAATTCTGCATTAGTGATCTGTTCATCTATTGGCACATATTTGTCAGGAAATTAGTCTTAGTACTTCTAAACTCCACTTCAGAAATTTGAGGTGCTTCTTTCTTGTCAATACTGGGGGAAAAGATACTAACCAGTAGTCTTAGAATGTGAAAGCTTTCCAGTGGGACACATAATTTATGTAATTCAGTTTTATGAATCTGAAAGCCTCACAGTCTAATACTAAGAAAGAGTTGAATTTTGAGGAAAAGCAGAGTATTTCATTTTGGTTCAAACCAAAGTAGGTTTCTAGGGAAAAAAGATAATCTCTTGCCAAGCATATGTTCACTTGTCTTCATCAAAGGACCAACTGCACATGTGTTAACAATCATAGTTGTGAAAATTACTCTTTGATATCAGTATATCCTACAATGTATTATTGGCTTTTAAATACTGTGCGCTCCTCACAGTCTGTAGGACATTTTTATTTAACTTGTTAATTTGAATTAAAGCAGCTGTCACTTCATTCGCTCTTTTGAAGCTGTTCTTGGATGAGAAGGAACAGCAAGGCTTATAGAAGAAAGCCAACTTTTCACATCAGTAGTTTTTTGATCAGTAATGAAATCTGAATCTACACTACTTTGATCAGAGAAAAAATCAATATTTGACTTTTTCTATGAAATTTTTTTATGATGGGGAAAGTATAAAAAAGGTATATCTTTAGCTCTTTAAAATTGTCAAATTACACTAAAACGCTCTGGGCCCTAAATTTTCCTATGGTCATGGATCACACGGTGACATTTTGGTCAGTAACAGACCACATATGTGACAGTGGTCCCATAAGATTATTATGGAGCTGAAAAATTGCTATTGCTTGGTGACATTGTAGCACAACATATTACCCACATGTTTGTAGTGATGCTTGTAAAAGCCTGTGCTACCAGTCATACAAAAGTATTGTACATACAGTTGTGTACAGTACATACTAGAATCATGAGTCACTTAACGATGGAGATACAGTCGTTAAGCAACTTTGTCATTGTGTGAACATCACAGAGCGTGCTTAAGCAATCCTAAATACTGTAGGCAGCGGCAACACAGTGGTATTTGTGTCTCTAAACATAGAAAAGTTAACAGTAAAAGTACAGTATAAAAAATGATATACGTTTATAGGGCACTTACCATAAATGGACCTTGGCAGGACTGGAAGTTGCTCTGAGTGAGTGAATGTGAAAGCCTAGGACATTCCTGTGCACTGCTACAGCCTCTAAACACTGTACACTTAGGCTACACTAAATTTATGTTTTTCTTTTTTCAGTAATAAATCTTAACTTACTGTAGCTTTATAAACTTTAATTTTTAACTTTGACTCTTTTATAATAACACTTAGCTTAAAACACATTGTACAGCTGTATAAAAATATTTTCTATCTTTATATACTTGCTTTATAGTTTTTCTATTTTCAATTTTGTTTGTAAACTTTTTCATTCAAAATCAAGACACACACACACACTAGTCTAGGCCTACACAAGGTCATGATCATCAATACCACTATCTTCCACCTTCACATCTTATCCCACTAGAAGGTCTTCAGGGGCAGTAACATGCAGGAAGCCATGATCTCCTATGATAATTACAGTTAGCTTTTTTTTTTTAATAAGTAGGAGAAGTATACGCTGAACTCTAATGATAAAAATTGTAATATACTTGGGGGATTGGTTCTAGAACCTGCGCATATACCAAAATCTTTGCATGCTCAAGTCCCACAGTCAGCCCTGCAGAGCCTGCATATACAAAAAGTTGGCCTTCCATAGAGAAGGGTTTCTTTGGCATCCCAAGAATAGTGTAATTTTGATCCTCATTTGGAAAATGATCCTCATTTTGGAAAAAAAATTCATGTATAAGTGGACCCACACAGTTCAAACCAGGGTTCTTCCAGGGTTAACTGTATAGTAAATACTAGTTAATAAGAATTTTTCCGCTCCATTATCTTATGGAACTGTTCATATGCAGTTCATACTTGACCAAAACGTGATCTGCTGTGTGACTACTTGATAATAAAAGACTATATTATCAGTTTATGTATTTACTATACTATACCTTTTATCATTAGAGTATACTCTTTTCTAAAAAAGAGTTTACTGTAAAATAGCTTGCTGTGTCATGTTGGCAGCAGCCTCATACATCTCATATTGCTTTATTCATCATGGCCCCTACTCGTACATAATCCATACAGCTAATGTTGCCAGAAAGAGGCCACATCAGGTGATTGACCTGGAAACAAAATTTAAAATGATTAAGGACTATGAAGGTGGAAAATCAGTGATGGTTGTCATTCATCAGGCAGACATGTCCCATTCCAGTATAACTACAATCTTGAAGAACAAGAATAAGAACCCTTTAAAGGATCTGTTTCATTGAAGGCAACAAGACTAACAAAAATTTGAGAAGGGCTTATATCAGACATGGAGAAACTTCTAATGACCTGGATTAAAGACCAAACACAGAAGCATATCCCTCTCAACACCTTTATGATTGTAGCCAAAGCAAAAAGTTTGTTTGCGAAGTTGAAAGAGAAGGTTGGACCCTACTATGATGTTGAGTTTACTGCTAGCTCTGGGTGGTTTAAACAATTCAAGAATCATTATTCATTACATAATGTGAAAGTGAAATGGTGAGTTTGTGACTGCTAATGTAAAGATAGCTGCAAAATTTTTGGAGCCTCTGGATAGGCTGATTGTGGAGGAGAATTACTTGCCAGAGCAAATTTTCAATATGGAAGAAACCTTCCTATTCTGGAAACAGATGGCTAAAAAGACTTTAACCCATAAGAAGGCCAAATCGGTGCCAAGTTTCAAGGATTTTTGAGGACAAGATAACATTCTTGCTTGGGGGCAGTGTTATAGGCTACAGATTGAAATCCTTTGTGATCTGGCACAGTGAGAACCCCAGGGCCTTCAAGTGTATCAGTGAGCACACACTGTATGCCACAGGAGCAATAAGAAGTCATGGATGGCCTAGCTACTCTTCCAAGATGCCCTCCTGAATTGCAGTGCCTGCAAAATGTACAGAAGTACTTTAATTAAACAGAAGTACTGTTTGGAGAATAACATACCTTTCAAGATTTTGCTTATTCAAAATGTTCCTGCACATCCTCCTTTTATTAGTGATCTTCATCCCAGTATCAAAGTAGCGTATCAAAGTAGCACCACATCTTTGATCCAGCCAATGGATCAAGGAGTTACAGCATCTTTTAAGGCCTATTACTTATCTCCAGGCTGTTGCTACAACTGAGGAAGACACTGAGAAGGCACTGATACAAGCCTGGAAGGATTACAACATCCATGACTGCATCAAGAACTCTACTTGGGCTTGGGGTGATGGCTGACATCTGGAAGAAGACACTCAGGAGGTTTAGCCATGAGTTCAGAGGATTTACCAAGGATAAGGAGGTTGCAAAAATATACAAGGCTGTAGTTGAGATGACATACAACTAAGCCTGGGTTGTGGATGAGGATGGTATTGAGGATCTCCTAGAGGTGGAGGTGTCCTAAGGAATTGACTAATGAGGAGTTGTTGGAAGTGGAACAGGATGCATAGCTAAAGAAGAGGAAACTTCAGGAAAAGAAGAACCCTCAAGAAGATTCACAGTAAAGGGTTTTTAGCAGAAGCTTTTGCAGACCTCAACAAACTCTTTAAAAAGTTTGAAAACATGGACCACAACACCAGAAGGGTAGAGAATAATGTTCATAGTGCATTATCTCCTTATAAGCAAATCTATGATTAAAAAAAAAACAAACAAAAAATCCAGTTAAACTACCATAGATGTATTTCTGGGAAAAGTGACACCTTCTCAAGGAGAGTGTCAGGTCCTTCAGGAGGCATTACAGAAGAAGGCATCCTTGCCATAGGAGGTGATGGCTTCATGCATGTTGTTTCCCCTAAAGACCTTCTGATGGAATAAGGTGTGTAGGTGGAAGACAGTGGTATTGATGATCCTGCCCCTGTGTAGGCCTAGGCTGTTGGGTGTGTTTGTGCCTTAATTTTTCACAAAAAAGTTTAAAAAGAAAAATTTTAAAATAGGAAAAAGCTTATAGAACATATCGTATATAAAGATAAAAAATATTTTTGTATGGTTGTACAATGTGTGTGTTTTAAGCTAAGTGTTTTTGTGAGTTAAAAACTGAAATATTTATAAAGTTATAGTAAGCTAATTATTGAAGAAAAATATTTTATAAATCTAGGATAGCCTAAACGTACAGTGTTTAGAAGCTATAGTATACAGTAATGTCCTAGGCTTTCACATTTATTCACTATACACTCAGACCCACCCAGAGCAACTTCCAGTCCTGCAAGCTCCATTCATGGTAAGTGCCCTAAACAGGTGTACCATTTTTTAAAAATCTTTCATACCATATTTTTACTGTAACTTCTCTGTGTTTAGAGACAAATACCACTGTGTTACCATTGTCTACAGTACAGTAACATGCTTCAGATTTGTGGCCTAGGAGTGATATACCATATAGCCGAGGTATCCAGGAGGCTGTACCATCTAGGTTTGTGTAGCACACTGTATAATGTGCACACAATGACAGACTCACTTAAAAATGCTTTTCTCAGAACATATCCTCATTGTTAAGGGACACATGATTACACATAGTAAATCTGAAGCCTTTGGTAGCTTCCTGATTCATGAAGCTATCAAATGATTTGTGTAGAATATTTTTATTTGTAACTTATAAAATGTTTATCTTTAAGCCCTTTTGTTTGGCTAAAACCAATCAACAAATGTGACTGGTCTTTTCTAAACATTGAGGAAGAATTTAGAGATAACTGAAATCAGTGCATTATAGAGTTTCTGTTCTAAAAATAACATTCTGGGGGGGGAAAAACCTAGAACCTGTTACTGCCTATCTGAAGTGGCATTCTGATTCTAGTTTTTGTGTTTTCTTTAGGACTATCGGACAAAACCTTTTTGCTGCAGTGCTTGTCCATTTTCCTCAAAATTTTTCTCTGCCTACAAAAGTCATTTCCGGAATGTCCATAGTGAAGACTTTGAAAATAGGATTCTCCTTAATTGCCCCTACTGTACCTTCAATGCAGACAAAAAGACTTTGGAAACACACATTAAAATATTTCATGCTCCAAACGCCAGCGCACCAAGTAGCAGCCTCAGCACTTTCAAAGATAAAAACAAAAATGATGGCCTTAAACCTAAGCAGGCTGACAGTGTAGAGCAAGCTGTTTATTACTGTAAGAAGTGCACTTATCGAGATCCTCTTTATGAAATAGTTAGGAAGCACATTTACAGGGAACATTTTCAGCATGTGGCAGCACCTTACATAGCAAAGGCAGGAGAAAAATCACTCAATGGGGCAGTCCCCTTAGGCTCCAATGCCCGGGAAGAGAGTAGTATTCATTGCAAGCGATGCCTTTTCATGCCAAAGTCCTATGAAGCTTTGGTACAGCATGTCATCGAAGACCATGAACGCATAGGCTATCAGGTCACTGCCATGATTGGGCACACAAATGTGGTGGTTCCCCGATCCAAACCTTTGATGCTAATTGCTCCCAAACCTCAAGAGAAGAAGGGTATGGGACTCCCACCAAGAATTAGTTCCCTTGCTTCTGGAAACGTCCGGTCTTTACCATCACAGCAGATGGTTAATCGACTCTCAATACCAAAGCCTAACTTAAATTCTACAGGAGTCAACATGATGTCTAATGTCCACCTACAGCAGAACAACTATGGGGTCAAATCTGTAGGCCAGGGTTATGGTGTTGGTCAGTCGATGAGACTGAGTCTAGGCGGCAACGCTCCAGTGTCCATCCCTCAACAATCTCAGTCTGTGAAGCAGTTACTTCCAAGTGGAAATGGAAGATCTTATGGGCTTGGGTCAGAGCAGAGGTCCCAGGCACCAGCACGATACTCCCTGCAGTCTGCTAATGCTTCCTCTCTCTCATCAGGCCAGCTAAAATCTCCTTCCCTCTCCCAGTCCCAGGCATCCAGAGTGCTAGGTCAGTCCAGTTCTAAGCCTCCTGCAGCTGCCACAGGCCCACCCCCAGCCAACACTTCCTCAACTCAGAAGTGGAAAATATGTACAATCTGTAATGAGCTTTTTCCTGAAAATGTCTACAGTGTGCACTTCGAAAAAGAACATAAAGCTGAGAAAGTCCCAGCAGTAGCCAACTACATTATGAAGATACACAATTTCACTAGCAAATGCCTTTACTGCAATCGCTATTTGCCCACAGATACGCTGCTCAACCATATGTTAATTCATGGTCTGTCTTGTCCATATTGCCGTTCAACTTTCAACGATGTGGAAAAGATGGCTGCACACATGCGGATGGTTCACATTGATGAAGAGATGGGACCTAAAACAGATTCCACTTTGAGTTTTGATTTGACATTGCAGCAGGGTAGTCACACTAACATCCATCTCTTGGTGACCACATACAACTTGAGGGATGCCCCGGCTGAATCTGTTGCTTACCATGCCCAGAATAATCCTCCTGTTCCTCCAAAGCCACAGCCAAAAGTTCAGGAAAAGGCAGATATCCCTGTTAAAAGTTCACCTCAAGCTGCAGTGCCCTATAAAAAAGATGTTGGGAAAACCCTTTGCCCTCTTTGCTTTTCAATCCTAAAAGGACCCATATCTGATGCACTTGCACATCACTTACGAGAGAGACACCAAGTTATTCAGACGGTTCATCCAGTTGAGAAAAAGCTCACCTACAAATGCATCCATTGCCTTGGTGTGTACACTAGCAACATGACCGCCTCGACTATCACTCTGCATCTAGTTCACTGCAGGGGTGTTGGAAAGACCCAAAACGGCCAGGATAAGACAAATGCACCCTCTCGGCTTAATCAGTCTCCAGGCCTGGCACCTGTGAAGCGCACTTACGAGCAAATGGAATTTCCCTTACTGAAAAAGCGAAAATTAGATGATGATAGTGATTCACCCAGCTTCTTTGAAGAGAAGCCTGAAGAACCTGTTGTTTTAGCTTTAGACCCCAAGGGTCATGAAGATGATTCCTACGAGGCCAGGAAAAGCTTTCTAACAAAGTATTTCAACAAACAGCCCTATCCCACCAGGAGAGAAATCGAGAAGTTAGCTGCCAGTTTGTGGTTGTGGAAGAGTGACATTGCTTCCCATTTTAGTAACAAAAGGAAGAAGTGTGTCCGTGATTGTGAGAAGTACAAACCTGGTGTGTTGCTGGGCTTTAACATGAAAGAATTAAATAAAGTCAAGCATGAGATGGATTTTGATGCTGAGTGGCTATTTGAAAATCATGATGAGAAGAATTCCCGAGTTAATGCTAGTAAGACTGCTGACAAAAAGCTCAACCTTGGGAAGGAAGATGATAGTTCTTCAGACAGTTTTGAAAATTTGGAAGAAGAATCCAATGGAAGTGGTAGCCCTTTTGACCCTGTTTTTGAAGTTGAGCCTAAAATCCCTGATGACCCAGAGGAACATGTCCCAAAGGTAACTCCTGAGGATCCTTTAGAATCTGAGGAAAAGCTAGACCAAAAAGAAGAGGATGGTTCAAAGTATGAAACTGTTCATTTGACTGAGGAACCAACCAAACTAATGCATGATGCTTCTGACAGTGAGGTTGAGCAAGATGATGTTGTTGAGTGGAAAGATGGTGCTTCTCCATCTGAGAGTGGGCCTGGTTCCCAACAAGCATCAGACTTTGAGGACAATACATGTGAAATGAAACCAGGAACCTGGTCTGATGAGTCTTCTCAGAGTGAAGATGCAAGGAGCAGTAAGCCAGCTGCCAAAAAAAAGGCTACCATGCAAAGTGACAGAGAGCAGTTGAAATGGAAGAATAGTTCCTATGGAAAAGTTGAAGGGTTTTGGTCCAAGGACCAGTCACAGTGGAAGAATGCATCTGAGAGTGATGAGCGCTTATCTAACCCCCAAATTGAGTGGCAGAATAGCACAATTGACAGTGAGGACGGAGAGCAGTTTGACAACATGACTGATGGTGTAGCTGAGCCGATGCATGGCAGCTTAGCCGGGGTCAAACTGAGCAGCCAACAGGCATAAGTGCCGGGGTCCCTGGCATTAGAGACATGCTACAGCCTGGAACTGTTCTCCATTCAGTATGACTGCAAAGCTATCTTCTAACTGGTACTGCCTTGTGAGCACTCGTCAGCAGACTGTGGGACATGTGGCTGCTGCGGTTCCAGTGGTTATTTCTAAGTCTATGACACATGATTGGCTGATCTTGCTTCAGAACCTTCTCTGACAGACATAGTAACTAAATATGAAAAACCAATAAGCTGGTGGCTTATGAATGCACACGAGGAAAAGCAGAGGTCTATTTTATCTGCCTTTTCAACATTTCTTTCCCTCTGTAAAATGTTTGGTTGGCTGTCCTTGAGAAGCGTTACACTGATTCAGATGGTAGTATAGGGCCAACATACGAGCTACCAGTCCAATGTGTATGGTAGACTTTGGGAATATCGATTTTTTTTCCATGTATTCATTCTGAATAGTTGAAATGTATATTTGTACAGTCTTTTAGACCTATTCAAGTGATGCTTATGATATTGTTATTGTGTGCCCATCATAGATTTGTTTCTTTTTTTAGTGTTGCCCTTGCTGTGTAATAAACGCTATATCTAGTTTACCTAGCAAAAGCTTGAAACTGCGCTAGTAAGGACTTTTGGACAGACTTAGTTTTTGCACATAACCTTGTACAATCTTGCAACAGAGGCCAGCCACATAAGATATATATCTGGACTCTCTTGTATTATAGAATTTTTCTTGTTCTGAAAATCCTTGACATTTCAACTGTCAAAAACTGGTATTTCAGATCTGTTTTCTGAAATCTTTTAAGCTAAAATCACATGCAAGAACTGACTTTGCAACTACTAATTTTGACACCTTTTAGATCTGTATAAAAAGTGTGTTGTGTTGAAGCAGCAAACCAATGAGTGCTGCCTTTTGGATATTTAGTTTTATCTTTAGTTAAACACCACTCTGGTGTATTCATTTATACCATCTAATATATGACACACTGTTGTAGTATGTATAATTTTGTGATCTTTATTTCCCTTTGTATTCATTTTAAGCATCTAAATAAATTGCTGTATTGTGCTTAATGTAAATATTTGCTTTATTACACATGGCAGTCCTGTGTCCATTATATCTTGTGCCATTTAATGCCATAACTCTCTGTTACCAGAGACGGAAGCCACGGTCATGGAAGAAACTTGTGGAAAACCAAGATCTGCCATTTGCATATAAAGAATGCTTTCTCTCATGGCACCTGTTACAAAATCATTTAGTTTTGTGGTTTTTTTCCTTTTAATGACAAAAATAAAACATCATTGGGATTTTTCAGTTCCCCTTTTGTTAAGGAGCACAGCCTGCATATATATGTAAATGTCTCAATGATAAAAGGATGTAAACATAAATTGGCATTAATTTGGAAGCAGAATCTTAATGCCCTGGTGTTTTTTCTTCTAAATGAAGTAAGTGTAGTTTTCACTATAATAGGAACAATTGTAGTAAAGAGGCAACTACTTTGCCTCTGTTATAACTCCTTTGACCATCTTGCTATTAAGGGAAACACATTTGGAAGGCTGTCAAGATAGAAGGAATTGGTATTTTTACTGTGCATTGATTCCCAAGAGCAAATGGTACTAAAAAGTGGAAAGTTACAAGAGGCAGAATTAGGCCAACATTTTCAGGAGTTACAGCAATGATGGGCTGCTCCCGTCTGTGCAGAGGTTAGTCACCTCTCAGGGACATAGGCCTAACTGAAGAACTCTGAAGTGGCTGATTTCCATAACTCCAAAAAAGACTCTTGTTAATGCTTTTGTTACCAGAGAAGAGATTTGATCTACCTCTCCCTAAAATGCTATGCTTTTTAAAAATCTTTAGGGTATTTGGGGATGGCATGGAGCTATTTTAAATCTGTTGTATAGGTAGATGATAAATTCTACATGCACCAGCCAAAATTTAGGACAGGAGATCCCTAGATTAAGATGCTATGGATTACCAAATCAGACACACCAGCTGAATTTAAGCCATCACACATTTGTTTGGAAATTACTCTGCCTAATTAACGGGAATAACAGAGCCCGAGTTTCTGAGTTCACATGTTAGGACTGAGACTTGTACGAAATAGCAAGGGGTTTGGAGTCCTGGTTGGACATTGGAGTGGAGACAGATAAGTATGCTTCCTCAAAGTGGGAGAGTGCCTTTTCGGCATTCAGAAAAAAGGGTATAGTTCCTAAAAGAATTGGAAATAAATAATAAAAGATTCCCAGCTGGAAATGTTGCAGAATCCCTAAAAGTGTCTCAATAAAAGCCATTTTAAAAGAATGTTGTTGCTACTGTTTGTTTTTGGAATAATTCGGAGATCATTTAAATTTAGTCTGTGGCAATCTGCCACCTCCTAATTAGAGAATGCCTGTAACTGTAAGATGAACATTCTGTAGATTTTCATTTTAATAAGGGAAACCTCATGACTTAATGTAGAGAAATTTTCTTTTTTGCCCTTCAGATTTTCTTGTGGCAATGAGTTCCAGAGTCAGGCTGGCTAGGGCCATGGTTTCTCTCATATCAGCACATAGGAGCACTTTCACAGGCCATCTTTGGTTCCTTGTCATTGAGCAGTACAGGGGGGAACTCTGTCAGATAGCTTTGTCCCTCGTTAAGATCCACGCAAGAAAGGATCTGCCCCTCTTACTGCCCTGTAGTTGTGTGTGTGTTCGTTCCAGATGCCCGCCTGTGTGTAAAGATGCCCATTTCAGAAGTGAGCAGGTTTGAAGACTAGATCTATTCAAGGCTGGGCTCCCCTTCTGAAACACTCCCGAGGTGGTTAAACCTGACGGAAAATCTCTCAACAAAATTAAGTAGGGCATAATGAATGTACAGATTTTGCAGAGTCTTGTGTCAGGCAGTGGGTTTTTCTGCCCCTTGTGACCCTATCTATCTCCCTGCTGCCCGCAGACTTGCCACCAGTTGCAGGCATGTTTCCACCAAGGTATCATTGCAAGAACATCTCAAACTTAGAAACTTCCAGAAAGCTAGAAACTTTTCGAAAGAGGCTGCTTCCCCCATTCAGAGACGGCATTCCGACACAACCAGTTATCAGGAGATGGCCTAAGTGAAAGCCATCTCAGCTGAGACGAACTCCTGACAGTCAAGTTTGAACACAAGGCATTTCTCCCCACAAGTGCTGGAAGGTGGGTGTGAAATTAGATCCAAACTTGCACCAAAGGAAGGTCACCAGAGGTAATTCTTTGTGTCCTGCTACTTCCTACCCACTTGCCCCACTTTAAATAATGACTTGGAACATTCAAGCTGCAACTTAGGTGGGATTGTCTTTGAGAGGTGAAAGTTGTATATAGTCAAAATCCTGAAAATCCGTAAGTCGTGATTTCACAGTGCTCCAATCAAGGGGTGGGGCTGTGGGAAGAAAGAGCCCTAGTTGTTTCCGGGACAGGCACTCTGGAACAGGGCAGAACCTTCCACACTGTTTAAGGAGTGTGGGTCTGTACTGCAGCCACGACCCCCGCCCCAACCGGGACACCATCTCGCCTTACGGTGTAAGACCATTTAAACCTAAACTGGTTTCTGCAATAAAAATCCTAACTTTTGCTATTATGTACCTTTCTTAATGTCATTATTATGAAAGAAGCACAATGGATACCCTAATAAGCACACTAGGTATCTTTTGGGAGCCGAAGCAACAGCTGAAAGTAAAAAGCCTCTTCCAATGTACTTGACATGGGCGCTGTGCTGGCTGCCATCGAGACTGCCGCAGAATGTGACAGCTGTGTGTGTGCAGTAGCCATCTGCGAGTCTAGGAACCAAAAGTAAAGATCTGTCTTGGAGACAGCGGAGGAGGAGACAGTGGCGTGACTTGCTTGTTGTCACTAGCTCATGGGCTAGCAAAGCTGGATCAGCATCCCCTGGAGAAGCTCAAATGACCCTCTCCAAGAAGGGCCTCCGGGCAAGGGGCTGGATGACACCTTTCTAGGAGGGCAACCTTGTTCCTAAAAATGCCCCAAGCTCAGGGCACATCATGAACACACAACCACTCAACAAGCATTTTCAGAACATCACCGATGGGAAGTTCCTGGGGCTAGTTGTAGGGCATTAGAATCTTAAAATGTTTCAGTCCTCACAACAGTCCCGCCCAGTCCTTCCTTTCCCTGCCCCTCCTCCCAGGATCCTGTAAAGGGAGCATTAGCTCCAGGTTTCAGGTGCTGATGTGAACTCAGGCCCAGAGAATCCAACTTGTCCCAAGATTTAGCTGGCGAAAGGGAAGACACTGACGAGGACCCGAGTCCACAGCCACTGGTATTTCCAACCACAGCATGCAGCCATGGCCTTGAGTAAAGAGCAGCCTCATCAGAAAGGCTTCTGCTCTGAATGAAAAGGTGTGAGCCCCCGTCTCTAAACCAACACATTGCACTTTCCCTGGCTCCGCGTTTCCCAAACTACCCCCATTCACACTGCCATCATCATTCCTGCTGCGTCTGCCTAACAACTGCTTTATGTTCTCATATGTTTCAACTCCCCCTTTTATTTTTTTATTTTTGTTTTTGAGACAGAGTCTCACTCTGTTGCCCGGGCTAGAGTGCCATGGCATCAGCCTAGCTCACAGCAACCTCAAACTCCTGGGCTCAAGCAATCTTTTTGCTTTAGGCTCCAAGTAGCTGGGACTATAGGCATGCACCACCATGCCTGGCTAATTTTTTCTATATATTTTTAGTTGGCCGATTAATTTCTTTCTATTTTTAGTAGAGACAGGGTCTCGCTCTTGCTCAGGCTGGTTTCGAACTCCTGCCCTTGAGTGATTCTCCCGCCTCTGCCTCCCAGAGTGCTAGGATGGCATGAGCCACCGCACCTGGCCAACTCCCCCTTTTAAATAAAGGGAAACTATATCACTATAAAAAAAGGAATGCCAACATAATTTGCCATTAATGAAGATGACTATGAAAGAAAATACAAGACAAAACAAGTTAAGTTTTTGCTACCTATTATGTGCTCAGCTATAAGGCTAAGACTTTTCTCTGTTAAAAGGGAAAACCAAAGTGAGATCAAGGAACACTAGCACCAAAGTTAGACTCATCCTTGGCCCAGGAAGGCTGAAAGAATCAGATGAGCCTTATCTTGGTGTGACTCCTGTTACCTGTTGCATGCCAGGTGGCCCTGAACTAGGAGTCAAGGGCTGGGCTCCAAACCTGGCGCGGGCCTGGCCCTGGCGCTGGGTGCCTCTCGGGAAGTCTCTGCCTCCTGTAGCAGTGATAACCCGACTTGCTTTACCCGACCTCGGCCCTTTTATGTTAGGACTCCAACTGGCAGGCAACGGGACACCCGCTCAGACTGGGCTTAATAAAGGGGATGGGGCAGCTGGCTGCGCCTGGGGAAGGCAGGCTGCTCGGTGACGTCGGCAAGGACTCGGCTTCTCTCCGCCCTGCCACCCACAGGGGCACCTTTGTCCTAGTCAGGCACCCTGATATTTGTAGGATGCCCCCCATTTACCTAGCCTGAGAGAAGGTGTCCCCCCTCCAGGGTTGCGCAGGAATCTTGAACTCTGAGCCACAGGGACCATCCCGGAACCATCGGAGAGCCGATGGGCTCAGTCCAAAGCTACCGGGCGAGTGGCTGGGAGCTGGCGTTACCCCGGCGGGCTTGGACCAGTCGGGACCCACCTCTGGGCGGAGGTGGAATCGGTTCAGCCCAACACCCAGAACCCAGCTCAAACCCAACTGCGTGCTCCACTCAGGCACAAGGAGGCTGTTGAGGACACTACGCTCTCCACACCAAACTGCCCTGTGCGCACCAGACGGAATGCTCGGCTGCTCCAGCCGGGAAGAGGCAGCAAGCCCTTGCGCCTCTGGCCGGAGTTCTTGAAAGCAGCGCGTCCCGGCCCCGGCGGTGTGCTGAAATCACCTGGGCGGCTGTGACCGCGAGTGAGGCCCAGGTGTGCGCTCCGGAGGTTCTGGTGCACTCGGTCTGGGCTGTGGCCCAGCGGAGCCCAGGACTGGAAAGCACTGTTTCATAGGGGCGCCAGCGTGAGCCTTCCCCGAACAGTCCATCGCAGCGTGCCCGCTGCCGGCGGTGCCCCGCCTGACACCACTTACTCTAATCCCCCATTCAGCAAACACCCGCCCGCAGCCTGAGAACCACCTGTCTCTACACTCAGAGATGCAACCTGTTTGCCAAAAACAACTCTACGTGTGTAAACGAATGTCCTGATGTCCCCTTGATTCACAAGGGGCAACAAGGAGACCGTGGCCCTAAACCCATAACCCTTGGATCCTCACTCTCCGGGTGGAGTCACCATGGCAGCAGCAGTAGACCCTTGGGGACACCAACCAAAGAAAAGCACAAACCTTGCTCCTCCGGGGCTCCTGCTCATCCGCCCCGGGCTGGCTCCCGAGAAGGGCAGCACTGACGAACGTCTGCACGCTCCGTCCAGGTCAGAGCGGCCCGGAAGGCCCAGTGAGGACGTCCTGGGGTGAAGAGGCCACCTTGGGCACGCAAGGCTGGCTTGGGTCTTCAGGGGAACGGTATGTTCGCCCTGACCAAACACACGTGTCCCCTGTACTCCTTCACTTAACTCCTTAAACCCAGAACGGTGGGTAGCCAACCGCCCACCCCGTGGGTAGCACACTCGGCCACAAGTCCCGGCGAGGCTGCCGAGGCAGGCCCCGCCCGCCGCCCTCCGGCCTCCCCGCCCAGCTGCGTGCAGACCCGAAAGGCGTCACGCTGACGATTACCTGCGAGGACCTTGGTGGTTTAGAATCTGAAGCAAGTACGCAGGACTCACGGAGGAGCTCAGAACTGCTCTGAACTCTTCCACACCCACAGATGCCTGTGCTGCTGGCCACTAGGCAAAATGGGGTTTTGCTTTAAGATGCGGAGGAAGATTCCTGAGTGCCTGCGACAGCCTGGGTCAGAAAAACACATCTGCAGGGAGTTAGTAAGACCTAGCCTCTAACTAACCCTCCTCTCTGAGAACTTGCCTTCTCTTGTCTGGACTTCTCTAGGAAGGAGAATTTTTAGCATGAGTGGAAGTTGGATTTTGTCAAATACTTTTTTTCTGTATCTATTGTGATGATCATGTGGCTTTTGTCCTTTATTATTAATATGGTGTGGGACATTGATTGGTTTTTTAGATATTAAACCAACCTTGCATTCCTGAGAGAAATCTTGCTTGGTCATGATATATAATATTTTTATGTGATGCTGGATTCAGTTTGCTACTATTTTATTGACATTGCATCAGTATTCATGAGGGATATTGGTCTGTAGCTTTCTTAGGATGTCCGACTTGGTATCAGTCACCCCCAAAAGGAGCGCCTTGGACAGCACACACGTCTATAGTGGAAGCCCACGCCCTGCCCCCCTAGCTAGACTGCCAGCTGCTTGAGTTGCAGTGACATCCAGCTGCCATCCTCCACCACATGAAGCTAAGGCCCAGATGCATTTCTTCATACACCCCATATCCTTGGAGTAAATTCTCCATGGACTTGGGGCTCTGATTCTAAGAATTTCAAATGCAAATGCCCACAGGGCCTAGGCAGGTGGAATAAATTAGTGAAGTGAGTTGGATATAAGAAAAGCCTGGCAAGCAGGCCCCCAACGTGACTTAGATTTAGCTCATTGTTGCCTTGTGAGAATATGAGCCCAGTGTTTCCTGTGACATATTTTCCAGTTTTTTAAAAAAAACAACAGGAAATCCAGTTCTTCATGTGCATTGACAGTTGCTGACAACTGATTTTAATTGAATTTTTAAATAGGTAAACAAAATATGAAAAAGTAAACATGGAGTGAAAATGCCCCCTTTCATCCCCAAAAGATATCCACTATTCTCAAATATTTGTTTATCCTTCTAGAGAATTTTAATCCCTTTCTTTTTCACACAGGTGGTAGCATACCATGTACAGTTTTCTGCATTTGGCTTTGATATCCTGGCAATATTTCCACACTAATTCAGAAAGAACTCCTAATCCGTTTTTACAACTTCATAGTATTCCATCGTATGGACAAATTTATCAAATTTATCTGTTATGGCTTCTGAACTTTGTATGATTCTTCAATGTTTTTTACCTACTTTTTCAATATATATATATGTATATATATATGTGTATATATATATATATATAGAGAGAGAGAGAGAGTCTTGCTTTGTCACCTGGGCTAGAGTGCAGTGGCATCAGCCTAGCTCACAGCAACCTCAACTCCTGGGCTCAAGCGATCCTCCTGCCTCAGCCTCCCAAGTAGCTGGGACTACACGTGCCACCACACCCAGCTAATTTTTTCTATTTTAGTAGAGACAGCGTCTCACTCTTGCTCAGGCTGGTCTCAAACTCCCGACCTGAAGCGATCCTCCTGCCTCAGCCCCCCAGAGTACTAGGATTACAGGTGTGAGCCACCCCAGCCAGCCGATAGATTTGTTTTACACATTTAGCTCCTTAATCCATCTGGAATTTTGGGAACTGCTTTGGGTGTGTGGGGTGAGGTATGGAGCTCCCTTTACTTTCTCCCAGACGGCCATCCAGTTGTCTCAACATGAAAACATTCCTGCCGACCAGAGATAGCCCGCGGGCTGCTGTCTTGAAATCTGCTCTGAAAGGCATGAAATTCACTCCCACTGGGAAGGTGGGAAAGGGGGCTGGCTGAAGGGCCTTGTCTTACGAAGATGTGCAGTCACCTGGGTCCCTGCCCTACAACAGCCACAGAAAGATGGCCCTTTCCTAGGCTGCAGCCCCCCTCATGGGGTTAAGGGCTGCTAAAGTCGCAGTTAAGGGTTTCATTTACTTGACAAGAGACAAGCTGGGCACATGCTTCCAAGAGGGAGCACGCTCAGTCACCTGGCACAAAGACGGCACCTCCAGAACGGAGCCGCTTAGAGGACTGAGGTCAGGGGCTCCTGGCAGGGCTGAGTGTCCTGGTCTTCCTTCTCCCCTGGTGTCTCCAAGTGTCCTTGGAAGCTCATTATGTTGCACTCCTACTCCCAGGAAATATCGAATGGTCACTTCCAGTGTATTCATCACCTCTTCCCCATAGACGTTCTCACGCAGCCTCCCCTGTCCTCGCTGCCGGGGGAGAAAGATCCAAGGACAGGGAAACCCTAGGCAGCTGGGCGGACTTTCAGCAGCTCCCACTCTCCGTGACTTGTTCTTACTGTGACATTTAAGGGCAGCCCCTAAGTCACTCGCTGTTGAGGCTCTTGGATGCCACTGGTCAGCCCTCTCGTCGCCGAGCCCAGTGGCCAGCCACAGCCCCCATTACCAAGTGCCCCTCACCAGCCCCGAGCCCAGCACGCACACAGCTCTTCTCGCTTCATCCTCCCAGCAACCCAGGAGGCAGATGCTGTCATCGCAATTTATTGAGGAGGCTGAGCTCAGAGAGGGTAAGCAACAAGCCCAGGGTCACAAAGCAGCTGAGATGTGTGGGAGAGGATGGTGCCACGCAGGCAGGCTGATGTCAGAGCCTGTGTTCTTAGCCATGGTCCTGTGTGTCTCTATTTTAGGACATTTACGTTGCTGTGGTTTAATCTCATGACATTCCCTTCCACCCCTCCCTGGGCCCTGGTTCAGGCCCTGGAAGGAGAAAGAAGCCTGGGCGTCTCCAGCAATCTATAAGTACTCAGCCTTCCAGAAATTAGTGTCCTCAACTCCTTGTCTAAAAAATTAACTTTGCATCGAATCCATGCCCTCCCCGAACAGACTGGGGCACGGCGGGTGTCTACGCTTCCTTCATTAAAACCAGCCTCAATCAATACAGCGCGGCCATGAGAACTAACACTCCTCAGCTACACCCTTTATTTATACAAGGTGCAGAAACCCGCAACACCGTCTGCACTGCTGGGTGCCAGGAGGCCGGAGCCGGGCACTGAGCAGAAGGGGCCCGAGGGGGTCCCAGGTGCTGACAGTGCCGGTCAGTTGGTCTCAGTCTGGGTGAGGGTGAAACAGATGCGTTCAGTTTGTGAAAATTCAGTGAAATATACACTTGGGTGCTCCTTTCTGTAACGTAAGTTATACTTCAATAGACGGTTACCACTATCACCTTGACAGCAACGTGCTGGCTCTTCCCATAAACAAGGGTCTACCTCTATCTTTGGATTGCAAACCCTGTCCTAAAAGGGGCACAACCCAACTCTTTTTTGCTTTTCTACTGCTACCTTGCCAGGTTCACTATTTTAGATTTCCTTGGAATTCTAACGTGGGTCTGCAGTTCAGTGTGTGCGTGCGTGTGTGTGTGTGCGTGCGTGTGTGTGTGTGTGTTTGCTCCTGGCTCCCAGGCTCTCAGAGGAATTCCAGAAATAGCCACTACGGGTTGAAGCCCAAGTGAGGCATGTGGGGTGTTAGGACAACCGCAGGAAGCTCATCCACATGAGAAGAAATGAAGCCACAACACCTTTGGAGGAGTCCTGGGGACCCCCACCCACTTTCTTGCTGGGAATACAAAGGCCAGGACTGTGCCCTGCCCTCAGACGGGGACTTAAAACAAGCAGGTTCCGCACAGGCGAGGACACCGTCACTCCCAGTCCCCACACCCAGACCAGAGGCCGGCTCTCCACACCTTTATGGGGACGGCCCTGCGGGCTGGGGCACTGGGGTCTCAGCACGCAGCCCACCCAGTACGGAGGCAGAGTCCTCGTGTAGGAGGGATGTCCCCACCGCCATCAACCACGGTCACACCGGGCCACCTCTTCCCCTTTAAACACCAGGAAGGCGACACTGGGGCTGGGCCCCACGCGGTGGACTCTGCTCCAAACACTGTGGCCTGACGTGTGGCAAGGGAGGAGATTCAAAAACAACAACAGGAAAAAGAAAGAAAACCGGGGCTGCTCCGTAGCACAGTGTCACTTTCCAGCTCACAGCTGCCCAGGGCGGCTCGGGGCTGGATGCCCGGCCTCCCTGTCCCCGTCCCCATCGCCCACGGGAAAATGGTCCTCGGTCCTGTACAGCGCGGGCAGCTCGTACGTCAGGGGCGCCGGCGCAGACGGTTTCTGGAATGACAAAAACACAGGTGCTCTCTCAGCAATTTGGATCCACTTGTTCCGTGACCCAAGAATTCCAGTTCTAGTTGTTCATCCTGTGGGAGAGTCACACATGTGACATATCACTGCCTGTGACAGCCTAAGCCGGCCACCCAGAGGAACCAAAGCATCCATGTCGGGCCCTCTCCACAACAGAAAACTGCAGGCATGAACAAGGGCTGGGCGGAGCTACCTGTTCCGACAGAGAAGGGCGGACACCCAGAGGTGAGGAGGGCGTGGACTCGTGGCAGAGGGAACCATGTCCCACCCACATGCGTGTGTGACAGACAGCTCTGCAGGGCCACCCAAGAGCCTGGGCGCGGTGGCCGTCACTGGCGGTGGAAACTGGTTTTTTCTTTCACTGTGTACCCACCTGTGAGGCCTGAAGTTCATGCCATGTGCATGTGCTACTCTTTCAAAAAATAAAGTCATTTTAAGAAGTGCTTCCTCATTTCTGGTAGAGATTTTTGTTGAGAGAAGGCTGGGGGAGACAGCGTCCCTCTCAGGCTGGCTGGCGGGACCTGCAGGTTACTGTGCATGTCAATGAAAATCCAGCGCACCGAGACCACCTCAAACAGCGGTTCTCAAACTTGGCCAAACACTGGAATCTCCTGGGAGCTTTATGAAATATTTATGCCCGGGCCCCACGCCAGAGTGTGACGTCACTGGCCTGGGCGTGGCCTGGGCAGCAGAGAGTCTCAGAGCGCCCAGGTGATTCTCTGTAGACTCAAGGCTGACTCAGTGGCTGAGCTGCTCTGGGGGAGGGGTCTGCAAGGCCACTGCGCTCCTGCCCTGGCTGGGCCCTCGGAGACAAGCAGACATGTGGGGTCAACAGGTGCAGGGGAGGGGACCCTCTCACCACCCTCCCCTTCCCTGTCCCACACCTCCCCCACTGTCTCATCTCCTGGCCACCTCTGCCCACTCCAGCTGAGACCCAGCTCTGGCCCAGCCTTCACCTGCAGCGGGAGCTACCGGGGCAGGATGCGGAGCTCCAGCTGTGGTCGACCGCAGCTCCCACCGCCAAGCACCTTCCCTCCCCTGCCCTGACCCTGCACTCCACAGCGTGGCCATCAACCCCAGTGCAGACAGGGAGCCAAGGCTTGGGAGGTGCCCAGCCCTGAGTCATGCACTCTCCAAGCACCTGTCCACTCAACCACTGTCTCGCTGAGCATCTGTGCTGGGCCAGGCTCTGACCTGGTGCTGAAGACACAGCCTTGAGCAAGACAATGGCCCCAGCCATCATGGGGCACACCATTTAGAGGGGGGCACAAACGAACCAACAGAAACAACACTGCCATGGGATGACAGCTGATGGTGGGAGAGGCCTGGGGGACCCAGAAGAGGCCCCGCCTCATCCTGGAGGGGTCGGGGATTTTCTAGAAGCTGAACCATCTGCGACCTCAACAGCCTCAGCAGGAATTGACCAGGAATTCTGGGAAGGGGGGCACAGGGGTGATGGAGGTGTGGCGTCCTAGGCTCAGGGAACAGTGTGTGCCAAGTGGGGTGTGGTGGGGGGCTGGGGGAAGGGAGGCAGCTCTGGCTACAGTCGCCAGGTCAGGGGGAGGTGGGGATGAAGCTGGGAGCCAGGCCCGAACCTTTTGCACTGTTGGAGGCCGTGCTACAGCTTTACCCTGAGAGCACCAGGGGCCTCTGGAGCTATTAAGCAGGAGGGTGAGAGATGAGACGTGTGTTTCAGAAGAGCAGAACAGAGAAGAGACCACAGAGGAAAGACACACCAGGGAGGCGGCTATTGCAGGTAGTGTCCCCTAACAGTGAGAGTGGCCAGGCTTAGGGGAGGGAGAGGATGGATTCTAACATCAGCACCCCAAAGCCCCCGGCCTGCCACCATGCTGAGCCCTCTCTCTGTCACAGATGGGGGCCACCAAAGGATTTCAAATAAGGCAGAACACACTCGGGTGTCCAGGGACTTCGCATCAACCTGCGTTACCACCTCCACGTCTGCAAAACCAGGATGAGCACCTTCACCTCGGCCAGGGGTCAGCCTCGACACAGGGCAAACAGAACATTCTGCCCAGTCGACACTCAGTCGGCCACTCCTGGCTCAGCCGGCCACTCCTGGCTCAGCCTGCCTGGGGGGAGGGAGGGGGTGACTCAGGAGACGAGACCTACCCCTACCTGCCCCCTCTTCAGCACCTCCCCCAGTGGCCTCCTGCCCCCCTGAGTCCCCCTGACGGCACCACAGTCAGGACACAGCTGGGAGTGGAGCCACAGACACACCTACAGCCAGGCGGGTGTGGCTTGTAGGTGATCCACAACTTAGAATCTCACCCTCTGTCTCCTGAGGACTGGCCATCGCAGTATCCAGAAAATGCAACATTCAGGTGAACAATGACAGTTCAAAGACTAGACCTCTTATCCTGACACATGACTTGGGGGGCAAATGGCATTTTGTGATCCTGAAAGGACACGTTCCTTCTTCTCCTGACCCTCAGGACCCAGGCAAGGGTCAGAGGCCAGGCCAGGTCAGAGCGAGTGTCCTGGCCCAGCCAGGTGGCCTCTCCTGGGCCAGCTGGGCCTCATCCTGACCCTTTACTTCTGGAAATGGATCTATCAACAGGGATGGAGCTTCTGCCTCCTCCCTCAAGGAGACAGATTCTATAAACAGCGGAAAATCAACACAATTGCCAAAGAGAGGGAGCAATAAGAGGCCCCAGCAGTTTGGGTTGTGACCTTATCTTTAGGCCCCACGAGATCTAAGGCAAGAAGCTCCCCATCGCGGCCCGAAGCGCAGGGACGAGGGGTGCAGGGAGAGGCAGGCTCTGCCGCCGGCCGGCCAGACGTCACGACGGATTATTAAACAGCTGCTTCCCGCGCACTCGGGAAGGAAGTCGATCACTAGGAACGCGCGGGGCACACCACGACCAAGCCGCCCGAACACGCCCGCTGGCCTTTCGCAAGAGGGTCCGGCCTGGAGGAGGGGTGACAGGCTGCGGGGGCCGACGGGGGACCAAGCCCTGCGGTCGCGGGGGACGCGCGCTGTCTGGAGCTGGGCGGAAGTCGTCCCAAACGCGGCCTTGGAGAGCGGGCGGCCGCTGTTCCGGCCCGTCACTTCCTCTCCGGGCTCCGGCGTCCTGTCGTTTCTGAGGGGGCCGCTCGTAGTCCGCTCCCCGTCCCAGCAGCTCCCCGCCCGCAGGGATTGGTCCAGGGCGAGCACGTGATCCGAGACGGCCAATGAGAAGCAGCCGCGCGACCCGCGCTTTGTGCTCCGCCCCGCGGTGCCGGAGTCCCGCGAGGGCCACTCGCGCCACCACACTGGGGGCCGCGGAGAACGAAGCCCAAGCAGAGGGAAGCGGGGTTGGGGGATGGGGCGAGACAGAGTCCCTGCAACGTCATTCCACCGAGGCTGGAGCTACCCGAGACTTTTCCTGTTCACGAGCCTCGGGGTTCTCCTGTTTGCTTAAGCCACGTCAGCCTGGGCTGCTGTCACTTGCAACGGGAGTCCTGCCTCAAACGAGTAACAAACCACGGTGGTGGTGGCGCGCAGGTGAGTCAGAAGGTGAGGACTGCTGTGTGAGGCCCGGATGCTGTCGGGGTGCGGACACCTCGCCCAGGGCTGGGCAGGACCCCACCCAGCAGGCCGGGCTCCAAAGGCTGGCACGCAGGGATGCCACTTTCACACCCACTTTCTCTCTGATTCTCAGGGCAAACTGCCCGGCAAGGGGTCGCCCCGAGTCTCAGAGGTCACAGGGACAAGGGAAGGGTGGAGCTGGGGCCCACTCAGGCCTCCATGCCCAGCCCCGACCCATGGCTCCATGGAACGCCCTGGGGACAGAGCAGCAAGCCCAAACGCTAAGGGCTGCACCTACAGCTTTCACTCTGGAGGACCTCAGAGGGGACTGCAGAGCTCTCCACCTCCCAGCCCTCAACCTCCAGCTGGTAGGGAGCCTCTCTTCTGAGCTCTGCCAGGTGAGCAGGAGTATCCAACTCTGCGGGCTGGGCTCCCCACCCCCACCCGGGCTTGCAAGCAGGAATGTTCGCTGCTCTGGGACAGGATAGGTCAAGACTCAGAAACCCGACACCGCTGGTCCAGGGCTCTGCCACGTGCTCCTTCTCCAGCCCCAAGCCCCGCCTGCCATCCTCTGCCTCGGGGACCTCTGGGGCACCAGGCCTGGCTGCTCTCGGCTCTACCCACACCCCCTCTTCTCCCCACTTCTACCCTGGACACCCAAGTTCCCAAACCCTCAGCCCACAGGCCAGACACACGTGTGCTTGGTCTGCCCCATGATTTTGTAAAAGTGGAATTAACTGCACACATGCAGAAATAAGATTTCCCGTGAAAACCAGACTGCCGGTTTCTCTTGGAAAATGGGATCATCTGGCAGCTCTGGGCCTGCAGTCCCTTGTGGCCAAGCTGGCTGAGTGGAGGAGCAGTGGCCCCTGAGACCCTTTACCATTCCTGTGACCTGCTGCTTCTGGCAGATGCCCCACAGTTGGCCCCCCTGCATTCTGCACCACTAAGCAGCTCTGTTTCTGACAAAGAACCCAAATGGCTGTCACCGCACATGACAATGTGGATCCTCAGGCCCCGGCTGGGCTCAGTCTCTGTTCTGAACCCCCCACTCAGGGCACTGTCTGCTCTAAAGCCAGCCACCTCCTCAGGGTCTTTGCTTGCCCTGGACCACCCTCCCACACCTGTTTCTAGAATGCTCCATAGCTCCTTTTAAGTGCTAGTCCATCCTGTGTCCCCCTCTTGGGATGCCCTAACTGCACATCCCTGACTGCCTTCTGGTCAGGCCAGGCTCAGCAAACCTTTTCTGTAAAGAGCCAAATAGTAAATATTTTAGGTTTTCCAAGCCAGACAGTCTCTGTCGCAACCACTCAACTCTGCCCTTGTAGCACAAAAGCAGCCACAGACAATATGCAAACAAAAAGCATGGCTGTGTTCCAATAAAACTTTATTTACAAAAACAGTGGCAGGCCAGATTTGGCCCCCAGAACATGGTTTGCCT